TATATATATATATATAAAATATAAATAAATATATATCTATTATATATATAGCAATTATATTTTCCATCAAGCACTTTAAACTTTTATATATGCATTCCATATATGTATATTAATTTATTTTCATTTACCAAACACATTATATTTTCAAAAGAGCTTATTATAAATATATATTAAACTGTTATCAGCATCTTATTGCCCTTGAGTTATATAACAATTTATTGCTGTTGTTGCTACTGACTTCTTTTCTAGATTTTCTTTTAGAGAAATAAATATATTTTTGACTTATTTTACAAAGTATTCGAAACTGTTATTCTCATCTTTATTGATTTAAACGAAAAATCAGCACCCTCACTATTAGAACATTTAAAATTGATTTAATATTCATAAAAACTTTAAATCAATTTATGAATTTAAAATCAATATTATAAATTGAATTGAAGGTTTCATCAGTGATACTATGGAAGCCATTTATAAATTTTATTTAATTTTTTGATTTCTTCATGTATTTTAATTTTAAAAAAAAAAGAAAAATTTTCATTATATATTGCCCAAAATTCCCAGGGGCTGTGTATGTCATTTTTCAAAATTCGCTTGCAATTAAATTAATTTAAAAGTTTTCAAATCAATGTTCCATATCTCCAGCATTATTTATATTATTTTAAATGAGATCCCATTGAAATACAAATATTTTTCGGCTGTTAATTTTTCCTGGGTTCAACCCTTAATTGGAATTTAAAAATGATTTTTTTATTTCTATATCCAAAATTTAGATTTTTTTATTTCTGATGTTTATTATTCTTTTGAAATCTTTCAAGTTATTTATCCTTTAACTATAAAATTTTAATTTTGGTATTATAAATCCGCCACTCTCTGGGTTATTGTATTCATCTCTAATAATATATATATTTAAAATAAATCCTATATATATGATTTTCTACATATGAATTTCATTTTTATGAGTAACCTGTCTGCAGAAAACCAACATCTAAAAGTGGTCATGATTTAATTTTTCAGCAATATTTTTAAAAACATTTTTCTCAGAAACATATTGTCAATTTTTGTTGTTATATTTTTCACACTTGTCTAGCATCCCAAATTCTTATTTCCATATTGTATTCATTTTTCTATGTTTGGTCAACTTAAAGAAGGATATATATATATATAATTTTATTTTAATGTTCGTTGTCGATTATATCAACCTGTCCTAGGCCTACAAAAAATAAAGAAGGCCGCTACCTATGAAAGAATCAACTTGTTCTAATCTAGGAAAAAATATATATTTAAACATATTTATGATATATATATATATATATATAATTTCTCCACTTTTGATGCTACCAGCAAGCATGAAATTTTTTTTCCTGTTGATGAAGATTTTGGATAGAACTAGTCGAGGAAATTTAAATGAAATAATGATAATAAAAATAAAAAATATAATATAAAACCCAGTTTGTCTGAAGATTCTAATTTTTAATAATTTTATTGTTCAATATATATATATATATATAAATTTTATTAGACCAAATTTGGTTAGAAATTAATGTAATTATTTTATCAATCATAATAAAATCTTTTAACAATAATAACTATTTATAATAATGTCAGATGTTTACATTAATTGACTGTTATCCTCATCTTCATTGCTATATTTAATATGTTTCTTCAGTAAATGGAATTTCAAACCAAACCCTTTATTTCCTCCACCAAAGTGATTGTTAGGCATCTTTGTGCCATGTCATGTTATTTCCCTTAAAACTCAACTCAAGACTTTTGCAAATTCACCACTGCTGGTTGCCTGCTATTGAATAGAAAAATCTGTGTCTAGTTGAAATGATTTAACCAACGTCTTTATCCACTGAATTTAAGTACATATGTGTATTTATTTTAACACTTATGAGAAATTTCAGCAACGATGTTTTTGGTCATGAAGAAATTTTTGTTGTTATTCACTGTAATTTGTCTAGCATGTGCTCATTACTGGTTCCCGTAAAATTCATTTCTATGCTTGGTCGGCTCAGGAAATTTTTGTGGCCTAGCATATGTGCTGATTCATGAAATTTTGTATTTTCCAATGATGCTTTCTGTCTATTTTTCAACCTCATCCCACAGTGGGCGGTGATTTAGTTTTTCAAATCATATGTAGTCATTTATGCTGATTTTTCTATTTCACCTTTTAAATACTTTACGACATTCTAGAAAATCTTACCTCAGTACTTCGTTTAGGTTTTGGAATCTCATATTTTCTGTTAATGTATCTTTTTTAAAACGATGAAACATTTTCGATCACATATAAACAAAATAGAACATAGCTTAAAATTGTCTTTTTATCAAATATTTTTATGGTAATTGTTCTGATAGAAAACAAAGAAAACCGCTGACTTTATGAATTTAAGCGCAAAGTACTAGATATATGTTATATCTCAGCATTTTACACTGAAATTTATATAAATGAACCGTAATTTCTATTCTAACAGTTCCTTCTCTTACATTCTCCTTATGGATATATTTCATATTCTTTAAATCCAGTCATCTTTGAAAACAAAATTTTAATTTTTTTTCGTGCACACCATTTTCAAGTAAGATGAAACAGACTAACACGCAAGAGGTTACAGAGGATTTCGAGCTGAGAGCAGATAGGATGATAGAGCAAATCGATGAGGAAAGGATAGTGGATAGATCAAGGCAACAGATGTCGATTGACATTACATTTGAATATGCATGAAGATTATAGCTTTCAGGAAACAGGGATAGGGAAGGGAGTTTCAATGTACAGAAGTAAGATATATGAAGCCAAATTGGAGTAGAAGAGATGGCAAAACATTTCAAAATGTGTTTTTCAACAGTGAAAATGCAATGCCATTCGTTATCTTCTGTCTTCTTAATTCTTGTTCTTTATTTGTTATCTCCCCTTTGTTTCTTAACCTTCCACACTCAGCAACCCCTTACGTCTAAGTAGTTTTATTGCCTTGCTTGCGGTTAAATGATTCAGAACTAAAACCCAGTGCCAGACACTTAAATTTCTGTACTTATTTGATTTGAAATCTCCATTCGAACTCCCATCTTGGGCTTTTATTTTCTCTTCTTGACACAATTAGTAAATAGCGACTACATGTGTCACTACCATTTTTCTGTTACTTTTTTTTTACGACGCCATATTAGACAGTCTCAGCAAATGAAAATATTTATGCGTTCTTTTTTTTTAATTATTGCCTCGTATTCTAGTTGAGTTGTGATCATAAAATTTAACGCCGATTGACGAGTGATAAAAATGTCATCTTAGTGACATCAATAGAAATTTTTATTATGACAGAATTAAGTGGGGTACACACTTCTAACGAGCGTTATAAAGTAATTAATCCTGTGTCCCAATAACTGCATATTGCTACTTATATCCGACTTCAAAGATATTTATAATGACAAGCCATATTTTAAAAAGTTATATTATGTATTTTGATTGAATGAAAAGTAAAGTTTGCTATCTCCGAACGAAAGGCTTAAGACATTAATCTTAAAAAGAAAATATCAAATTTTAGATAATTAGACATACTGCAGAAAATTAAATGAGGTTTAGGCTGAAAGAAGGTTGTTTGAAATTTCGTTTTACCTAAGAGCTTGTATGATATAATTCTTCCATGATTCCATCGACTGATTGTAAAAAGATTGTAGATACTGGTATAGAGTTACGGAAGAAAACTAATAAGAAAACAAAACATACACTTATTTTTCTAATTGCTCCTATTGATAATGGTAATGGTAATATTTAACCTACGGGTTAATAGTAATAGTAATATTAGCCGTTTCCTTATATGGAAACATTCGTTTTCCTTATATGGAAACATTCGTTTTGCTTATATGGAAACATTCGTCATAGATAATAGATAGTTAGTTGTCAATTGATAAAACGTTATATAAAATAACGTTTTTTTAAAATAGGTTTCTCAGAGATGCATTCTACGACCTCACTCTCTCACTTTCCTTTCTTTCTTTCTTTCTTTCTTTCTTTCTTTCAATGCCAGCCTGTTCATATTCATCTATTGCAATCTGTTTACATCTATCTATCTATCTATCTATCTATCTATCTATCTATCTATTGTAGTCTGTTTCTATTCTATTCTATTATATTATATTATCTATCTATCTATCTATCTATCTATCTATCTATCTATCTATCTATCTATTGTGGTTTATTTACATTATCTGTCTATATATCTGTCTGTCTGTCTATTTTATTCAATTTATATTATCTATCTGTTTAAATCACAGTCTGTTCATATTTTTTTGTCTGTCTAGTCTGTTTATATCTATCTATCTATCTAGCTATAGCTAGCTAGCTACTATTTATTGATTTAAAACATGTATAAATCTATCTAATTATTTTTCTATTTATATCTGTGTGTTTGTGTATATATATATATATATATATATATGTGTGTGTGTGTGTGTGTGTGTGTGTGTGTGTGTGTTTGTGTGTTTGTGTTTTAAAAAATGATCGAATATTTTATGATATAGAATAGTTATCATATAAACAGTATTTTGGACAAATCATCACACATTAATAAATCATCAGATCATGTCAGATATATATATATATATATATATATATATATATATATATATATATATATATATATATATTCATATCTGTGTGTGTGTGTGTGTGTGTGTGTTAATCTGACATCAGGTGGTTCATAATATTGTCTGAATAATTGAAATCGAGCAGAAAATAAAACCATTTTCGGACTTTATTCACTAGTTATAAAATTATTTGCCGTTTCAAAAAAAACGTCCAGGTTTATCTGTCTTTCAAAGACACAATCTTTACATTGTAGCAGCAATTCCCACTCATCGGCTAAAATTCTATTTTCTATTTTTGTATTTTGGTTTTGTATTTCTTTCTTTCTTTCTTTCTTTTTATTTGCTATCGTTTGGTTGTTCGCTTGCCTTTCGTTGATCAACGAGAAATCTTCGTGCTTTACGAAACTTATCCAAACAGTGAATGGTTAGAAAGAAAGAAAGAAAGAAAGAAAGAAAGAAAGAAAGAAAGAAAGAAAGAAAGAAAGAAAGAAAGGAGAAGAAAGAAGGAAGGAAAGGAGAAAAAGAAAGAAAAGAAGAAAGAAAGTAACGAATGAATGCACGAACAAAGGGAGAAGAAAGAAAGAAAGAAAGAAAGAAGGAAAAAGAATAAAGAAAGAAGGAATGAAAGAAGAAAGAAGAAAAGAAAGAAAGAAAGAAAGAAAGAAAGAAAGAAAGGAATGAATGAACGAACGAACGAAGAAAGAAAGAAAGAAAGAAAGAAAGAAAGAACGATATAAGTAAGGTAGGAAGGAGAGATAAAGAAAGAAAAAAGGAAGGAAGGCAAAAGAAAAAATTTTATAAAATGGGAATATATAGAAAGAAAAAAGAAAGAAAGAAAAACTGGTTTTTGGTATAAAGAAAAAACTAAACAAAACAAATTTTTCTAACCATTTATTTGCTAAAATAAACACTAATTAATTCTTTTTGCTTGCTCACTGAATTTTTTGCCTTCATCAGTAATTTAATAAAACAACAAAATAAAACTACTATTATTTCACTACTATTATTATTATTATTATTAATCTTATTATTAGTATTAGTATTAACATTATTATGATTGTGCATATCCCTCCTTTTGTTAATTAGCACAAAAAAAATCCCCTTTCTATATATATAAATAACGGACTATTCCGTTATGGTCGCGTGGAAAGATTGGAAAAAAAAAACACTGCTGGGTTTCAATGAAAAAATAAAAAAAAACTTTTAAATTTCTGAATTGATTTGTAGCGATTAGGTAATATTGTTGTGAATGGAAATGTTTACAACAATTCAAATAATATATTATTTTAAAAACTTTGTTTTTAAAGAAAATTCAAAATAAGAATCAAAATTGAAAAATACTGACGCCAATAGACGACATTATCAGAAAATAAGAGCGTTCGCTATGGAAAATTGAAAGCCAAAGTTCGTAAAATGCAATAAAACTTTAAATTACGGAAAATATTTTCCCAGTTCTTTAAGATTACTGGCTAGTTAATAATTATATTAAATAGGCGCTCACGTTATATTCCACAAGTAATTTTTAGAAATATGTCGCCCGGAAAAAATATATATATAATAAAATTCAATTCAATTAATGTCAACAAAGCTGTCAAAAAAAACCCCCATTTAAATTTGAATGTAAAAGAAAAATCAGATTGATTTCAATCAGCTAATATCCTCCAAATAATGTTTCAGAAAATTATATTTTATTTTTTAAATATTTTTAATGAAGAGAATTACACTGTGTTGAGAGATGTTTAAAAATGTCTAAAACCAGCGATTTACCGATTTAAAAAAAAATATCCAGTCAATTTAAATTAGTTTTGAAATACAGCAAATACTGAAAATACTAAATTTAATCTATTAACTTGAAATTAAAACTAAAATAAAAGCTTCAAGGAAGATTTTTAATTTTTTTAAAAATTCATTTTAAATCTTAGAACTTAAAAATAACTCCGATTTTTAAGTATAAATAATTTCGATTTTGTATTGCAATATAAATATATCAAGATATCAAGTCACTCTGAATTTTCATGATTAAATTAAATTAAAGATTTTCTGATGTTTAAAATGGATATTAAACTCAACTAAAATTAAGATTATGTAAATATCGGAAGCCATTGTCAGATTTGTCTTCCCGTTTATGAATGAAAACAATTATAATAATTGAAATTACTTATTGATATATCCCCAAAAAAGATTTAATATTTGAAAACGGAATTTGATTCAAAAATTAATTTATCTACAGAGCCAAATCCCATATAACAATTAATCGAATACAACATTTCTCGTATAAATATGTGGGATTTCTGCTAAGTCACCAAAAGGTTTTCATTTCATAGGAGTAATACAATTGAGAACATTCTATCTATCTATCTATCTATCTATCTATCTATAGGGTTAATATAAATACAAAATTGTTCACTTAGCGGATTAATGTTGCTTTAATAATCCCGAAACTAGAGTTTTGTAGTAATTGCTCCATCCACTCGTCAGGGAATATCGCTTCGTCCACTCATCAAAGGACATCTGTCATATATATATATATATATATATATATATATGCATTTCATTGAATGCGAAGACAAGGTGCTTTTATTTAGTTTTTATAAATTTATCATGCGATCTAATAATTTTTTTGTTTTTCTTTATATGTGCATCAAGGAAAATTTTGTGCCTAAATTTACACACACACATATATATATATATATATATATATATATATATATATATATATATATATATATATATATATAAAGGAAAATGATTATAAAAATCCAACGAGATAAAGTGTGTATATTAAAAGAAGAAAGAAACCAAACGTTTTTACCTTTAATGTTGATTTTAAAATAAATATATTATGCGTTATTTTCATGGAAATTTTGACTACACGTGTTTCGGTCTCGCAATCTTCGTCAGGCAAAAGAAATGGATATTTCCAATATTAAAAAAAATTAATTTTTTATATTTTTCAATGTTTATTCTCGAAATTAGACATTCTCTTTTTTGTGTGTTAGTGACGCAAATGTCTTCCTTGAATTTATATGAAAAATATTCTGCGTATAGAAGGGTAAAAAAACAATTAAGACTGGTTCGATAAATGACAAGAAGATATTTACATTCTTATCTTTTAATTTGTAGGTATCTGTGTTTTTAAATCTATTTCCATTTTTTGTGTGTTTTGTCAGCATAACATACCCATACGTTTATATTCCCTCTCCATTCTATAATATACATACTATCTTATTATAAAATAATTAGTATATACATATGTACACATATACATATATTCATACACCCACAAACATAACTATATATACATACACAAAAATACACACAATCACTTCCTCTCTGTTGTTAACAGGCTCTCTGTGTCCTGTGTAGATAGTTTGTTCTATATAAATATATATATATATATATATATATATATATATATATATATATATATATAGATATAGATATATATATATATAATATATATTTATGAAAATATATCTACATATAAATTTAAATATATATAAAAAAAAATATTAAAATACCTATACAATTATATTTTCAGAAAAAAATTTTCCAAGAGGAAGAATCATCAGGTAGAACTCAATGTCTTTTCCAGAATAGGATTATTTGTATATTCCCCCTTTTTATTTAAACACAATTTTATTTTCAGTTATAAATATCTCTCTCTCCCCAACCTCTTCTCTTTTTTTTTAAATTTACCTCCCATCCTAAATTCTAATTTTTTTCCATGTTTTCACCACATAAATGTATCTTTAATGCATTAGACATCCGTCGACTTTCATCTCTCTTTTAAAACTCCCCCCACATCTCCTAAATTCTCTGTTAAGGTTTCATCTCCTTTCTCCTCATACTTACACTTTATTAAATTCTTAGATTTGATTTCCGGTTGTTGTTTTTTCTGTTTTCATTTTGAATTTGTAGGTCTGATGATTTGGATCTATTTACGATTCCAATGGAATAATTATATGACCATGGAATATATATAATTATTTAATAATTTTTATATATATATATATATATATATATATATATATATATATATATATATATATATATTTATACATATATGTGTATGTAATGTACTTTTCACTTTCATACATACATACTGTCTTATTATAAGGAATTAGTATACACATATATACATATATACATATATATACACATATACATATGCATACACACATTTGTGTAGGGTTTGTTTATTGTATAAGCAGTGTATTGTTTTTTTAATGCGTTCATATTCTCCACATATACCCGCATGTGAGTGTGAGCGCATGGATACGAATGGTTTGACTACTGTATTTGGCCATTATATGTGCATGTTGTGTGCTTTTGCGTGTGGGGTTATGGTGTATTTAGTGCTGGTTTAAATTTGTTTCTTGTATTTGTTAGTAAGAATAATTGTCTGTTTGGTATATTGTCATAATTTTAAATTCACCGTGATTATATTTATAGATGTGTTGTGATACAAAAAGTTTTCTGTTGTCTAGTAATTTTATGTTGCTTTTGTGTAGGGAAACCCTGTTGTTTAGTTGTTGGCTGATACCTATATATGACTTCTTGCATTTTGTGCATTTGAGTGCATAAATCACATTTTGGAGTTGCAGTTTAAATTTTTATTTATTATGAATGTCATTTTGGGGTTTTCAAAAGTGTAGGAGTTTCCTTCTATAATGATGTCACAAACCCCACATCTTTTTTTTTGTTGCATTTTGTGACTCCCTGTATTGTGTGTTGGTTAAATTTGGATGAGGTTAATATGTGTTTTAGGTTTTTAGATTGGCGTTTGCTTTTAATTATTTTGGTTGTTTTTAGTATATTTTTCAGTTTGTCATTCTTGCTAAGTAGGTCTAGATTTTTTGTAATTTCTGTAAATAGTTCTGGATTGTTCTTGTTGTATGTTGAAACATATGCTAGAGTTTGTTCGACGTTACGTTTCTTTGGATTTCGTAGTTGGTCTAAAGGAATTTTTTTTTGCGAGTTCAAAACCTTTGTTTATTAGTGTTGTGGGGTAGCCTCGTTTTTTTTAGAGTTTTATGTAGTTCTTCTAGGCGGGTTTTTCGGAGGTGTTTGTCAGTCACTATAGTACAAACCCTACGTGCTAGAGAATAGGGGATGGATTTCAGGCAGCTTTTTGGGTGATGGCTCTTGAAATGAAGATATTGTTGGGTGTCTGTAGGTTTGTGGTAGATATCTGTGATTATGTGGTTGTTTTTATTTCTAATGAGTATATCTAAAAATGGTAATTCGTTGAAATTATATTCTTGGGTGAATTTGATTTTTAGGTGTAAGTTTTGAAGTAGAGTGTGGAATTGGTTAATATCACCCCATGAGGATTTCCAGAAAATGAAGCAATCATCTAAGTATCGTTTCCAAGATTTAGTGAAGTGGGTTTTTATATTTTCCCCATATATTTGTTCTATCTTTTCATAGAGGTTTTCCTCTAGGTAAGCTAATGTTAGGGTGGCATATGTTGGTACCATTTTTGTTCCCATTGCGGTACCTAGGGTTTGGATATAGTTTTTGTTGTCAAATTCAAAGGTGTTATTGTTTAGAATTAGGTCTATACTATCGATAATGAATTCTTTAGTGAATCTGGGATGTAGTGTTTCTGGATGTTTTTCAATCCAGAATGAGATTGCCTTTTTACCTAATTCATGGGGTATGTTGCTATACAGGCTACTAATGTCAAAAGTTGCCATAATTGTTTCCGGATCTACTTTTTGTGGTATGGAGCTAAAGAAGTGAAAATCGTCTCTGATGTAACTTTTAATATTCGTGGTAAATGGTTATAATATTGTGTCTGTTAGATTACTGAGTCTACTAGTTGAACAGGCTGGTCCTGCTACTATGGGTCTGAATGT